AGCAACTATTGTCTATTTATTAACATTTACGTGAAAGACATAGTCCATACATTATTTCACTTGTTTAAAAACTTGTTAAAAAAAATCTTGGAGGTAGGTGTTGTAATTGGTTATTTCCAGATGAAGAAGGTAGGCTTGGTTAGAGGTTCACTGATGTGCCCACAATCACACAGGATATTCAAACCTTAGCATACCTGACTATAAGCTTGGATACTCCCCTCCTCGGTACTACTAAACCACCAGGCTGGGGGAAAAAAAAAAGAAAAAGAAGGTGGAAAAGTGATGAAAACAGACTAATGGAGAGAAGGGGACCAAAGTATCATCTAGTTTTTCACCAAGGAGCTGAAACTTCTACCCATAGGGATAACATAAGCATTGAATGTCAAGACTGTAATGATAAAATGTAACACTGTTCTTGCTGGTGCTGAAAACTATCACTAGTAGTAGTTTGAAACATTTTACAAACACACTTATATTAGTGTGTCTAGTTAATCATTCACCAAAATGCGACTTGTTGAGCATCAAGAAGTGGAGAATAATCCAAGGTAATCCCCCAAACACTGCAGCGATGAAGTAGTGTGCAAAATGTGGGGATCGACACCCCAGAACAAGCAGAAGCCCACCAATGTTAATGTCGATGTCAACAGAAAACCATCTCCTGATTTAGAAAGCCATACAATGGTTTCCAGTGTAGTATGCTACTTTTCAAACCTCCCAAATGTAATGCCCAAATCGTTGTGTAATTACATGGCAGTTACTGCCTTATGATGGCACAGACTCTGAGTCCCCACTGTCTTCCCACAGGCTCCACGAGACAAACTGAATGCATCTTTTGGGCCAAATGTTTTTCCTTGTGTCCTGCTCCATTTTTCATTATCATGGCAACTTGGCACTCCTCCCCTTAATCATAGGTTTGGGAAGGGGGGTGAGGTCAGCCTTCCCTCCGTCGCTAAGGCCACCGTTCATGGCTCCATTGAAGTAAAGTGCACCCACTGCAGTGCATATGCCACACGCCACATGCCAAACAGTTCTCTTCATCTCAGCACAGCAGTGATTCCCATCAACTCAGTGCAGGTTTTAATTAGAACACGAGGAACATTAGTTCCTTATTATTGTTATTATATTTGAAGGAAAACAGTTTGCTTGATGGGGGTTTTGAGATCAGACAGGTACACGTGACATGTTTTCTCTTTGCCTAGTACAAAATATCTCTAAAACATAAACTTTCCTTAATTCAATCCAATCCAAATAAACTTAATGCTAACTGAGATAACTGTACTCAGTCTCTGACAGTCAAAGTTTTCAGGACAATTTATTGGTACTGCCTGCAAATATGGTCCAAAACTTTCAGTGGGCAAAAAAAATTACAGCAACAGGAAGTCTGAATGTGTTCAATGAACCACACCTCTCACTCGTACAGGAAAGAAGTCTTATCAGATGTTCCTCTGATACCTTTATCACTAGCCAGTGATAAAGGTAAGTAGATGAATGAGAAAGTTGAGTGTGCACAGAGCTTGGGAGATAAGATTAAATGGAAGCTAGCAGCCCAGATTCTATATACCACCTGGTTCTTTGTGTAAAGTTCTGGGTAGCTAACACCATTTTTGACACTGACCATCTTTGACATTAGTGTATGCCGGCTTTGCAGAGTGGATACTAGTCAGTTTGGCATCTCAGAATGTTGAATAGAGCTTTCAACTGTGAGACTAAAAGGAAGTAGTTGGCAGAAGCTCCTTGTAGCATCCTAAATTGAGTTACCACTTCCTCCTGGCGGGTAATATCCCATAACCTTCACAGCCAAATACTCGCCTAGCGCCAGTCTCAAAGTTAGCAACTTCGGTGGTACAATGCAATGAGTTTGGAGATTTGCACTCAATAAACCTGCCACCTGCTTTATTGTCCTGACAGGAAACTGTGGTTAATGTCCCAGTGTCTTTTTTTCCTCCCTCACTGTTCCCTCTTCCTGGAACCCTCCTTACTTCCCAGGTTTTAGTAGATTCCTATTTGTCTTGCATAACTGGGTTCCAACTAAGTGTCATCTCTCCTCAAGAAGGCTTCCAAGACCATGCAATCTGATCTAGAAGTCCTTTGTCACTCCCCTAAACCCTATACATGCCATTCAGATCACCTTACACTGCCCAGTAAAAGGAGCCATATTTGTCTGTGAAAAGCCACACCTTACTCAACTTTATTTCAGCTGGAACCTGGCATAGTGCCTCGATCTCACACAAGCTGGTCATTAGGAGCGTGTGCTTGCAGAACCTCTCTGTACCTCAGTTTTCTCTTCTGTAAAAGGGTATGATCACAATACATACCTGATAGTGAATGTAAAGTGCTTAGAATAACTGTGGGCTCTTATTATTAAGTATTTGTGAAATTGATAAATAAGTGTAATCTTAAGTCAGTTACTTTATTTTTTTAAAGATTTTATTTATTTGTTTGACAGAGAGAGACAGGGGGAGAGGGAACGCAAGCAGGGGGAGTGGGAGCGGGAGAAGCAAGCTTCCGGCTGAGGAGGGAGCCCAGTGCGGGGCTCGATCCCAGGACCCTGGGATCGTGACCTGAGCCAAAGGCAGACACTTAACGACTGAGCCACCCAGGTGCCCTTAAGTCAGTTACTTTAGATACAATGTCTTCTTCTATAAAATGGAAATAAGTTTATTTATTTACAGAATGGTAGTAAGGATCAAATGAGATGACATAGTTAATGAAAGTACTTTGAGAGCGGTAGAGGACCATTTTGAAACTGCCCTTTTGTTTATTATTACCTAATAAATGATATAAGATTTCTAAACCAGAATTCAAAGAAGAGTCTTTAGTGGCTAATGCAGTGGTTGCCCAAGGCTTATTCAAACTTTGGGTTTTTTCCTTAACTTTGCAACACTGGCCATAAGAGACAAGGTACAGTTACATGGACTATTAACAAGGTTAAGGGGAAATAGATCCCAAAACTCAGTGAAGCATTGGAATACTAGCCATCTGAAAAGAACATCAACATCCACAAAATATGGAACATCCAGAGGACTTAGGATGCACAATCATTGCTGCTTCATTTTGATATCACAGAATCCATGGAATTTAAGACCTGGAAAGAATTTTGGAAATCATTTCTTCCAATTCCTTCATTTTACTGATGAGGAAACTGATGTCTATGGACCCCAAGCAACTGGCCCAAAGCCACGTATCAAGCTAGTGACAAACCACTTGCCTCCTAATTTGTAGCCTATAGGTTTATATAAATTTTGTTTATATCATGTTGCCACCACTATTTTTGTGGGGTAGACTTTAGGGACAAACTTGAGTTCCAATTCCAGTTTTACCATTTATTAATTCTGTGACTTTAAGGGAGTTATTGAACTGATGGAAGTCACAGTTGCTTCATTTGTAAAATAGGGATCCTCGTATCCCTTTTAAAAGTTCACCCCATGCTAGAAGAGTTATATATATATATATATACCTATACGTTAGGTAGCAAAACCTGTGCCCCTCCTACCTGCTTCAGCCTTCACTAATTTCCTATAGTAAATTAAAACCAAACAATGTTCTTTAAAACCAAACAGTGCATAAAGACCAAGACCATATTGGAAAACATCTCTCTTGAAGAAAGCATCTAAGAACTGACATTTGTGAAATTTTCTTTGGTATTGAAGTGGTTAAAAAAAAATCCTTCTTCCTTCTGGTTTAAAACCTGGCTGCACCCGTTCTCCCTTCCCACACGCCGTGCCCTTCTCCGTGGCAGCCGTCACGTATAACAGGGTCATAGTAAAGCAGTGTATAGCACAGCGCTGCACTGTATCTCATGTTTGCTTTCTCACCTCCGCACCTCTCCCACCAGCTACCGTCAGGCTGCCAATTCCAGCTACTGCTTTATCCTCCCTTCTCTCTTTCTGCCCAGCCGCAGCTTTAAGGATGTGTCTTGTCTGAGGATGGCTCCCTTTATCAACGCAAGACAGAAACTGCTCCGGACTGACCTGGGCTCTGTCTTCCTCGGAGGACCAGAGTTTTCTTGTCCACGTTCCCGGCTGCCTGTCTCCCGAGGCCAGCGTCCACCTCCTCCTCCTCCTCAGGCCTTTTAGCGGGGCTCCCCTGACTACCAACGTCTCGCCCTCTGATGCCCGCGTTTCTAAAAGGTGCGAGACTAGACCGAGTTCTAAAAGTTGGTGCGGGCAGCCACTCGCACTGATGTCCTAGCCCTCCCCGCAACAAACACAGTACCAGGCGCGGGGCTCCATCCCGGGGCAACAAAACTGTCTGCCTTCTCCAAGGCAGCTCCGTGCCCAGGACACAGTACCCCCCAGGGCACCCCGCGTGGTTTGCAGCTGCGGCGAGGAATGAGCCCCAGGAGGATGCACAGGCGCGGACAGCCCGGAGGCAGGCGGAGGCGACAGGCCCACCGTGGCGGCGCGGTTGGGAAGACACCGTGGGCCCCACCTAACCTCAAACTCTGAGTCCATATCCCCTCTCCACCCCCGAGCTCCCACCCCACCGTCCTCGGGTGAACCAGGAGCCACTGTTCTAGCCTCCGCGGTCAGAGAGCAGGAGCTGGACACCGGAAAGCCAGCGCGGCTCACTGTTCGCCGCCTAGCCACTCCGGAGCCCCCTTGCCGGCCACAATGAGACTTCCCGCCGCGTCTGGACGACTAGGCGGCGATGGGCACCCCTATTCCCTCTCCCCAGGGCTAGGGGTACGAGGCGGGAAAAAGGAAACCTCGCGAGTTGGAAAGGGGCGCCGCTAGCCCTCTTGCGGGGTGCCCACAAGCTCCTATCGGGGAAAGGGACAAGGCCACCCCGATCCACACCCCCACGCACACCCCGGAGCTCGGGGCGGGCTGGCCATCCCCATTGGCACCGCAGGCGCACCCAGCCCCACGCGTCCTTCCCCAACACGACCTCGGGATCTCATCCGCCCCGGAGCGGCGCGGGCGGCCGGAGGTGTGCGCACCGCGCTCGGCGCGTGCCCCACGCTCCGGGGCCCGGCGGCCGCAGCTTCGCGCGCTCACCAGATGGCCATCCTGCTCTTAGGGTAGTCCAGCCGCTCCAGGCAGCCGAGGAAGTGAGGCAGCGCGTGCGCAGCGTTGCGGGCGAGGATGGCCACTAGCACCGTGGGTCTCTGAACCGGCGACTCGGGGAAAACCTCCGGCTCCTCTTCGTCGTGCTCCGAGTCGGGCTCCGCGGCAAAGCGCGCCCGGCAGCCGCGGCGGAGCAGAGCGGCGGACAGGAGCAGCAGCGAGCAGGCAAGGGTGGCTGCGCGGCGCGCAGCCATGTTCGGGGCCGCGGCGCGCGGCGGGAGACTGGCGGCCCGAGGGCGCAGAGGCGGGCTGCGAGGGCCGGACGGGGGACGCGGCTGCCGGGGCCGGCTGGCGCGCGCACACTGGCACCGAGCCCTGCGGCCCGGGAGCCTCCCGCCGCTGCCGCGGCCGCCGCACTGCCCAGGCCCTGACGCGGGGGCGCCCCGAGGACCTGCCGCCGCCGCGCTCGCCTGGAGCTCCCGCTCGCCGACAGCCGCGTGTGTGTGTATGTTTGGGGGGGGGGGAAGAAGGCTGTCCGTCCTGAGTCCCGCGGAAAGTTCCTCTAGTCCAGGCTCAGCTCGTACAGCTGAGGTCTGTGGCTTCCCCCGGAGCCGTGAGGTGTGGCCGTCGCTGCCAATGGGCGTGTGAGTGTGTGTGTGTGTGTGTGTGTGTGTGTGTGTGTACATAACGGTGCAACTCCGAGAAAATTTATTCTGCTTTTGCAAACCGCAGTCTGAAGTCCTTCACAGTGATGCAATGTATCCAGTTTTGCATAACGCACCTATTGACTAGACGGGTAGAGTTCTAAAATGGAAAGTCACCCAGCTGTCCATTACCACGGTAAACATTTTTTTTAAACTTCCACAAAGGCAGAGTGTTTGCATTTCCCTATACACTCAGTTTCTCTTGAAGTTCATCCTTGACTGAGTAGACCCCCATTACACCAAGCTTGGAGACTTGGAGAATTTGAGAGATAGACAGAACCCTTGCAATTAAGGGGAAGCCCCTGATGGGACATTGTTCTGAAGCCCTACTCCTCTCCCTTTCCCCCCTAAGGTCCTGAGCTTCCTGACAGGATGTCATAAAAGACAGGTTTCATCTAAATGGTTTTATTTTTCCTTAATGACCCAAACTAACAAAGAGTAACCCAAATACAGGGAAAATTCATAGGTGTTGGAGTAGGAGAGAGAGAAGGAGATAAGGAAGAAGAGAAGAAGTGCTGAAAGAAGAACACAATTAGCACATAAAATGAAATTGCTAGGATACACTGCCACAGGATCTTTACTCTTGAACATAACACAGGAAAGCTAGGAATGAAATCTGGAGTTCCTTCTTTGTGGGGTTGTGTAGCCTTTGATCTCTCTATATACAGGATGGGCTGGTACCACTGCACATTCATGACCTTCAACCCCAGTTCGCCCTCAGCCCTGTCCCACAGATTTTTACTTCTTGTGTCCCTCCTTCTCTGCAACTATTAGAAGCCTTCCTTACTCTCCTCCCACCCCCTCACCTCCTCAGAAGAATATCACCTCCTTTACTGAACTCCCTCAACAGCCTTGTCTCTAATATCCCTACCAGTGCCCTCCTTACCTGCAGGCACCTATTCCTAACATCCCCATCCTCTCCATTCTTGTCCATGACTTTGCTTTGCTCCATCATTTATCTCTACTCTCTACCAAATCTACAACTGGTCCCTCTCCACCAGCTCCTCCCATCAAGCTAAAAACTTAGTCCTCTCCTATCCTTGAATAAAAAAAAAAAAATTGTTGTTTTAATCCTGTATCTCCTTCTAGCAATCCCCTCTGTCTTGGCCAAGCTCCTTCAAAAAGCTTTATCCACTTCTTCATCTCCCACTTCTCCTACTTCTTCACAGAGGCTGTTCGGGCAAAGCCACAGATGACCTCAGCGTTGGAAGATTCAGTGACCTCCCTTCGGTTCTCACCTTCCTGGACCTGTTTCTACTTGTGTTTGCGCCCCTTCACTGGGTGCCCCTTCACAATGTGCTACTCTTCTAGCACCATATGGTCTCCCAGCATAATTGCATCTTCCAAATCTATGTCTCCTGCTCTAACCTTTTCTCTGACATTTAAACTTTTATATCCAGTGGCCTACAGACATTTCCTTCTCCTCCATCCTTCTTTGGAAACTGCCATTGCTATCCTGCATATAGGCCACAGGGACTTTTGGACAGTGCCCCTTCCCTGGAGTGAGATGGGATTGATGGACAGTTGCTGGCATTCCTGGAGCTTAGTATTGCTGGGTGTATTCAGTTTTCTGAGCTTGCTGATTACGAAGTTTTCTGAAACCTTGCTGATTACAAAAAGAACCTGTTAATTAGTTATGGCATGGCAAAGAAAATGAGATTTTCCCTGATTGTGGCAGATTTGGAAAATACACATTCTGTGAATACACATACACATTAGTATTTTACTAATCATAAGAACAGATATAAAATATGGAAACAGTAGTTTATATATGTGAAATGTAGTGTAGATTTAATTAGTCTGCAGACAAAGCTTGGTGCAGAAGTAGATTCCACAACAGATTACACAAACTTTGCAAAACTCTATTACTCATTGAGCTAACTAATGAATTCAGTAAAATTACAACATACAAAATCAATATGCAAAAATAAGTCACCTTTATATACACTAACAACAAACTACCTGAAAAAAATAAAATAATCCAATCTTCAGTGACATCAAAAACAATAAAATATCTGGGAATAAATTTAACAAAGTGAAAGATCTGTACATTGAAAACTATTGATGAAAGAAATTGAAGATGACAAAAATAAATGGAAATATATCCCATGTTCATGGATTGGAAGACTTTAATATTGTTAAAATGTCCATACTAATCAAAACCATCTATAGATTCCATGCTATTCCTATCAAGATTTCAGTGGCAATTTTAGAGAAAAAGAAAAAAAAATCCTAAAATTCATATGGAACAACAAAAGACCCTGAATAACCAAAATAATCTTGAGAAAGAACAAAGATGGAGGCATCACACTTCCTAGTTTCAAACTATATTACAAAGCTATAATAGTTAAAAGGGTAAGGTACTGGTGTAAAAGACACAGAGACCGATAGAACAGAATTGAGAGCCCAGAAATAAATCCATGTATATTCAACTAGTATTTGACAAGGGAGCCATGAATGCTCAATGGAAAAAGATCACCTCTTCAATAAATGGTATTGGGAAAACTAGATATTTGCACACAAAAGAATGAAACTGGACCCTTACACCACTTGAAAAATTAACATGAAACAAGTGAAGACTTAAATGTAAGATCTGGAACTATATAATTCCTACAAGAAAATGCAGGAGAAAGCTCCTTGACATTGGTCTTGATAATGATTTTTTTCAGTATGATACCAAAGGCACAGGCAACAAAAGGAAAAATAAACGAGTGGGAGTACCTTAAATTAAAATGCTTCTATACTGCAAAAGAAATGATCAACAAGATGAAAGACAACCTGTGGAATAGAGAAAATGTTTCCAAACCATATATCTGATAAGGGGGTTAATATCCAAAATACACAAGGAACTCATGCAACTCAATAGTACACAAATAAAACTATTTTTAAATGGGCAAAGACCTGAATAGACATTTTCCCAAAGAAGATATACAAATCGCCAACAGGTACATGAAAAGGTGCTCACCATCATCAGGGAAATACAAATCAAAACCACAATGACATATCACCTCACACCTATTTGAAGGACTATAATCAAAAAGATAATAGGTAACAAATGCTGTCAACAATGTGGAGAAAAGGAAACACTTTGTACACTGTTGGTGGGAATGTAAATTGAGATAGCCATTATGGAAAACAATATGGAGATTTCTCAAAAAATTAAAAGTAGATCATATGATCCATTGCTTCCACTTCTGGTTTTAGATGTGAAGGAAATGAAATGGCAGTCTCAAAAACATACCTGCACCCACATAGTCATTGCACCATTATCTACAGTAGCCAAGACATGAAAACCTAAGTGTCTGTTGGAGGATGAATGGATAAAGAAAATGCGGCATATATATGTATGTATATATATATATATATATATGCATGAAATATACATATGTAAAGAGAAGGAAATCCCTTCATTTGTGACAACATGGGTGAACTTTGAGGGCATTATGCTAAGAGAAATAAATCAAACAGAGAAATCTGTTATATAGTTATATGTGGAATCTAAAAAAGCCAAACTCACAGAAACAGAGAGTAGAATGGTGGTTGCCAAGATTGGGGGATTAAGGGGGGAATGGGTGAAGGTGATCAAAGGGTACATCTTCTGTTTATAAGATGAATAAGTTCTGGGGATGTAATGTACAACATGGTGACTATAGTTAAGAATACCATATTATACACTTGAAAGTTGCCAATAGAATAGATCTTAATGCAAGGTTGGTTTAACATTTTAAAAATCAAAAGAATTTTGCAAAATCCAAAATGCAGTCTTGGTCATGCAGGAATAAAAGGGAACTCACTCAGACTGATAAAGGCCATATGCAAAAACCCTACACCTAACATCATACTTAATGGTGAAAGAATGAGAGTTTTCCTCCTAAGATCATGAACAAGAATGTCCTAACTCAGCATTTCCATTCAATATTGTAGTGAATGTTTTAGATAGGGCAATAAAGAAGGAAGGAAGGAGGGAGCGAGGAAGGGGGGAAGGAAGAAGGGAAGGAGGGGGGGAAGGAAGGAGAAGAGAAGGGGGAGAGAGAAGGCAGGAATAGAGGGAGGGATGGAAGGAAACAGGAAGGGACATTTAAAACAAGCTAAGTACGTTGGCAGGCATATTTTAACATGAACGTGTAGGGTGGATTTAGTCCTTCTATGCCAATGGCTCCAAATTCAGTGATTTATTGAAATCTATTTTACTAACAGAAAAAAAAATATGTTGAAAGTGGAAAAAGAAAAAAAAGACTATCACAAATCCACTACCCACCACAACCACTGTTAAACATTTTGGGATAATTTTAATATGGCCTTTTCAATTTGGGTGTTTTAACTGTGGGTTTGTTCTCAATCCTGCTAGGGAAATTCAACACTCATGTTGATAGCAAATGTGAATACATATCTAGAGACAGAGATGGGATGTTTTTTGGACGGAGAATTGCTTTTGGTGCCTTTTCACATTTACAAAGCCAAGTATTACTTAAGACTACATATCTGCAGCTGTTTACATATTCTATATACAGAAATTACCAACTTATTATCCCTTTTAATCTAATTCTTAG